AAAGAAGAAAACATATAATCGCAAAGATAAAAATACTTATATCTCACGATCTACTGGGCCGATTTTAATGTTTTAACCGCCATTTTGATCGCAAGACACCCATCTACAACTTTACTTAAGCATTGAAAAAAAAAAATTTAGTAAACATTTTTTTATTGTTTACTATGTTTTGTTACTGAACCTAAACTGAACATGAATCTGACTTAAAAGTTCAATACTGAACCTGAGCTGAACATGAACCTGACTTAAAAGTTCAATACTGAACCTGAACTGAACATGAACTTGACTTAAAAGTTCAATACTGAACCTGAACCCGAACTTGACCAAAGTTCAGTTCAGTTCAGGTTCATAAGAACACTACTTAGGTATTTACTTATTTGTACTGGTAATACAAATTTCTAAAAAGGAAATAGCCAATCAGAGAACACAAATTTCAGATATTCTGGATCAGCCCGATATAGAATCCGAACACGTATGAAAGAAAAAAAAAAGTAAAGAAAATGATAATACTCAAAAACTAGTATTTAAAGTAACCTTTGTAGGCTAATAAAAATAACAGAAATAAAATTTTATATATAGGTAACTCCAATTTATTGCTAAAGCTCACAACCTAACGTACTAATTCTAAACTTCTATTTTTATGTGCTTAGTTTATTTACAAAACTGATTTTCTTTTTTGGTTTGTATTACTAGCACAAATAAGTAAATCAGTACCAGTGCACTGTTTAAATTTTTTCATATTTTTATACCAGTACGATTACATGAAACATGGAGAGATGATTTAGTTCAACTTTTTGGTGTGCTATATTTTTTCTGATTTAGAAGGTATTATTATGTTTTTTTCTATTTTAGTAGGTATTATGAAATTATCATATATTTGTGTTGTGTGAAATTTTGATGATCAGTATGTAATTATTACATCATGATTGTATGGTAGGAATATTCAATCATAATAGATTATTACCACATTTTTGTAATTAATATGTATTATATCTACAGATATTGGGTGTAGAGTGGGAATAATTGTAAATATAAAAGTAATCATTTTATTAATAAAATAAGGGATAGTGAACAAATAACAAAGAGTAATAGAAGGTCGAACACATGGAACAACAATTAACAGAACAATCCTAATCACTTTGATGATTATACTTCCAGGCATCATTAAACCCGAAACTCTTCATAAAATACTCATCCCACATGATCTATGTACAAAGCTAAACCACGCATACACACTTATCACTTTTCAATTCTGGGACCACAATGATCACATAAAATGTGAGATAAATGAGCATTATGTCATTTATGCTGATTTTTGCAAGATTCTATGTTAGAAAGTGTTAATACTGTAAACTATAAAGCTGTGATTATCTGTCAAATTTGTAATTGTTGCAACATTTTGATGTCCCATGCATAATTCAATTGTCATTCATGATTTGAGCAGTTCAAAGCGAAAGCTCGATCTTTTAATACCACAAAAAGATTTCATTTTATTTTTTAAAATTAATACCAGGTTTTGCTTTGCAGCACTCATTTTAAAAATTGACATTTAACAAATAAACTAACTCAAACTTAACTTCATTGGAATAACATGTTTGTAATTACCAGAGTAGTGAGTAAGTTCTATGAATTTTTTATAATAACTCAAACACAAACTAATTCAGTAGTAACTACATAAAATCTTGGTAATTTTAGCTGCATATTGTGGTAGTCATAATAGCAAGTGAGTTCAATGACAGAATTTTTTACAACTATAATTCTAATGCAACCTAATCACATAGAAATCATAATAATTTGGTTGCAAACTAACTTAGTTTTAACCACATATAGAAATCATGATTATTCCGATGCAATTAACTAAACTTCAATCATAATTAAGATGCAAAATAAACAATTTCATGTAAGTTTGTAACAAAATTTTTTACAATAGAAATCATGATAATTCTGGTGCATCTAATGCAACAATATCGCTCTTTTCGATTTATATTTAGTTTACTTGATGAATTGAGATTTTTTTTTCGTCAGTGAATCACATGGAAATCGTGATAATTTCAATACAACTAACTCAACCTTAATCGCTATGTACTATAACAGAATGCTTTACAGTAACTCACGATAATTCAAATACAATCTTAACTACTATGTACCACTGGAATAGCAAGTAAGTTTTGTGCCAGGAATATTCCTAGTGGAAATACGATAATTCTGATGTAAGCTAACTACGTTTTTCATGCTAGGGAGATAGAAAATAGGTTTTTAAGAAATTTTTACAGATAACTCGTAATAATTTTATCATTAAATTTACGTAATCATCAAGTCGCTTTATAAATTTAAATGCCGCATCATTCAATCCACATAACATCATTATTGGAGCTACACTACGCATCCATTAATCGCGCCTCCGTTCAACCTTTACTCTGTTCTAGCACGGTAAGATATACATATTTGAATTTTACATGTTCGTACTGGTCCTGCGGGCATCGCATGTCGCGCAGCTATCCTTATTATATAATAATACATATTTAACAAAACGAAAGTTTTCTTCAAAGTATTTTCGAATGATAATAAAAAAAAAAGAAAAAAAAGAAAAAAAACGCAATGTAGTATAAATCATGTAATAGTTCGATAAGAATTTGTATAAAAAGCTCGATTCCCCCCTCAAAACTTACTACGTCAGGTGAGTAAGGTTGTAGTATCAACAAAAGTCCGGTGTTTAAAAAATAAATAATAAAAAAATCCCATGCTTCATCTAGGGGTTTAGATAAAGTGCGCATTACTTCCAATATTTCTTCGGTTTTACTGGAGATATAATTTTTGAATATTTGTCGTTTTTAGATTCAACTTTATTATCTAAACAATAAAAGAAATCTTAATAAAATCAAATAATTAAATAAAACAAAGAATAATATGCAGATATTCTACCATTATTACAATTATTGGATAAATATGAGCCATGTAATACTTGTGACTCTTCTTTTGTGTTGGATTCTAGATAAAATATTCATGTCAACGTATTATAGTTAATGCTGATAATAATTTATCTGTAATATTTGAAATAAGTTAATTACCTTCCTGACATTTGTACGTTGTTTCAGTTCTATAATTAAAAAAATTTAATGAAATTTCATTATATAACTCTGGTTGCACAATTTGTTGATTGTTCTTGATGTTTTCATTTGTTATAAATTCAATAGTTGTTTCATTTGATAACTTCTCAAGTTCTATCAAAATTTGATCTAGCGTTGGTCGTTGATCTGAATCAGATGACCAACATTTCTCGATGAGATTAGCATAATCTGATGGTGTATTGGCAATAATTTCTCTTTTATCCTGCGAAATTTCTAAGATTACGGTCGCAATGTGAAACGGTGGAATTCCACTTGTAAGTTCCCATAGCAATACTCCAAGACTATAAATATCTGATATTTCATCGCGGCTAACTTTATCTTTAAGGAGGTAAATTTCGGATTTTTCATCGCGGCTAACTTTACATTGAAGAAGGTATCGTGGGTCAGTATAAATCTATAGTACCTACTAAAATTCATATATACTCTTTTCCTAATAACACTAACCCTAAACCCTAACCTAACCCTAAAAAAAAACCCTAACAAAAAGCTCTAAAAATTTTTAAAATTTCATAATAAAATAGGTCATAACTTCAGCATCAGCCAACTTCAGCATGATCCATGACATTTTATATGTAGAACAAGATTTCTTAGAACATGAAAATAGAATTTATTAATAAAATTTTGATAATTATAGTATTTTTTATAATTTTACTAATAAAATTATAAAAAATACTATAATTCTCAAAGTTTTATTAATAAATTCTATATTTGTGTTCTAAGAAATCTTGTTCTACACATAAAAATATATTACGCCGGCATACTTTTGCTTTGTAATTTTTAATTTTAAGATGTATAATTTTGAAATTTTGATCAAAATTTCAAATTTATGTATCTTCTTCTTTAAAATTAAAAAAAATAAAGTAAAAGTATGCTAGTGTAATATAATTTTGTATGTATAATAAAGTTTCTTAGAATATAAAGATAGAATTAAATAATAATATTTTAAAAAACATAATATTTTTTATAATTTTACTAATAAAATCATGAAAAATACTATAATTCTAAAAATGTAATTAATAAAATCATGAAAAATACTATAATTCTAAAAATGTAATTAATAAATTCTATCTTCATGTTTTATGAAATCTTGTTTTACACATAAAAATACATTATGCTGGCATTGTAAATTTTAATTTTAAGAATAAGATGCATAATTTTGAAATTTTTAATCAAAATTTCAAAATTATGTATCTTTTTCTTTAAAATTAAAAATATAAAGTAAAAGTATACTAGTATAATGTAATCTTATGTGTATAATAAAGTTTTTTAAAACATAAAGATAGGATTAATTAATAATATTTCAAAAAACATAATATTTTTTATAATTTTACTAATAAAATTATAAAAAATACTATAATTCTAAAAATATTATTAATAAATTTTATCTTTATATTCTATGAAATCTTGTTCTACACATAAAAATATATTATACTAGTATTTTTTTGCTTTGTAATTTTTAATTTTAAGAAGAAGATGCATAATTTTGAAAATTTTGATCAAAATTTCAAAATTATGCATCTTTTTCTTTAAAATTAAAAATATAAAGTAAAAGTATACCTATACAATATAATCTTATGTGTATAATAAAGTTTTTTAGAACATAAAGATAGGATTAATTAATAATATTTCAAAAAACATAATATTTTTTATAATTTTACTAATAAAATTATAAAA